ATAACACTAATTGGAAAATTTGATGATACTATCCAATTAAAATTGTTTGCAGTTTCCATGGGGTGACATTCTCCTGTTTGTCTTCTACCCTTTCAGAGAACAGATGATCCCATAAGCCCATAGATAAATATTGGCTTATTTTCACCAGCACAGTACTTGAATGGCTTTTGAATTTAAAGGTTCTTGTTCGTTCCCATTGGGAAGAGATAGTACTTTAAGAAGTTTTAAAACACACCTCTATCTTCCCCTGATTTTCAAGTTTTGAAAATGACACTGTTTTATAAAACTCTTGTTTTAGGTTCTCTTTACATAATGCTATATTTTGCATGGAAAAGCTGATATGATAGTGACTAAAGAAATAACAGTGTCTCCATACTTTAAATATTATCTAATGGTGAATTCAGTAGTAGAATTATGGAGAAGGTTGAGGCTGTCCATGATTAAGCAGGCTTATTGTTACAGGGCCTATAGAGCTTGCTTTTAGTATACATTTGAATATGATGTGACGTGGTTCCAAATCAGATTTTATGCACATCCTGTGTTTCCAAACAATTGAACACCAGTGCTACAACTGAACTAAAGAAATAACTATTAAGGCATTTAAAGTGGAACAGCTGAAGAACAAGCAACAAATATAATAAACACGGTTTAAGTATGAACAAAGTGAGTTAGAAAGATGAAAGCAATACTGAATGCAGCTTTGCACTTCTTGTACTATACCGATTTTATTAGGGGTTCACCTTTGAGTATGTAACTTAACAGTAGCATCTCAAATAAATGATGAGGAAATATTAAAAGTGAGTAGAACTATTCATTATCTTCTGCTTTCTTTCTATTAGGAAATAGACCATTGCCTCTAATGCTGTAGCCTAAGTGGACTTGTGCCTTCCATGGATGGAGTGAGGGCCGTAGGAGAGGGTGTATCAGGAGGAGTAGGTGGCGAGAGAAGAGGAAAACTGCACAAGTCTGAGATCTTTCCACTTAGCTCTGTGAAATCATGGGGTATTTATAACATGTTTTTTCCTGTTAGACACATACTTACACACGGCATACAAAAAAATGCCAAAGAAACCTCCAGTTCAAAAAAAAATGTTTGAAATTTGATTACTGTATCACCCCAGCTCTCTGTCAAGCACAGATAATTAAAGGGTGCTTGTGAACATTGGCAGCAACTAAAAATGCCACTACTGCTGAGAAAATTATGTCCTGTGAAATGGCTTCACAGTTTGGCTCCGCATCAAGGATAGGGTGTACAAGAATAAAAAGGGAATAGTTTCTGAATATATGTCCTTCATTGCTGTGACTTACTGCCTACTCCATGTTGGCCCTTTGGCTTTTATGGTTTGAGGCAAGGAACATAAATTCAGTTGCATTCTGTTGACCCAAGCAATCATTCTATAAATACAAACTTCCAGTTGTATTTTTCTTTCTTGTTTTGCAACTAATATAAAATATTACACTTTCCTATGTTAAAAATGTAGATGGTGTACTAAAATCTTTCCTCAGCTTCCTAGCTACTGCAAAAATAGCTAGGAAAAAGCCTCTATCAGTATGCCACTATTTTTAACTATGAACTGTATTCTCAAAATATCATAAGTAGATAATCAGGACACGGCAGAGTTGTCTTTCTGTGATTTTTTTTTTTTTTGATTTTTCTCCGGTACCGGGAACCGAACTCACGACCTTGCGCTTGCCAGGCAGGCGCTGTGCCGCTGAGCTAAATCCCCAGCCCCTCTTTCTGTGATTTTGAATCCTAGGGATTTGATGGAAGTATAAAATTAAGAAGGATTTTACTATTTTCATGTGAAGTTCATCTGCATAAGTATTAATAATCAATTGTAAAGGGTCATAAGTAGTGTGAAAATAAATTTTGAATATTTTTCAAGAGTGTTTTCAAAGCAAGACAAGGATTTATTTTCTGACATTGTACAGTGACCATATTCAGGCCAGAGAAAAGTGATCTCCCATGAGTTGTCTGCAGTCTGCACTTTGACTTCCTCCTCTTGGCCCAGTTTCGTCCAGATATTTCAACAGCTTGACTAAGCCTCATCACCATTTAGCTGCCAAATTCAGTGGCTGCCAATGTCACTACTAGCTTTTTAAAAACACCTGTTGCTAGCGCTATGTTTGAGTAAAGAAGGTTGGACCTTGTTGGTCTATACCAGCGGCTAGGCTCTCTCTCAGAGGAAAATTGTTTTTAATATCACTTCATCATTCTTCTTTAGGAAAACAGTTTTTTCCTAGCAAGCTTTTCTCTTTGCAGAGAAATTGCATTTACACTGAGTCTGGTATGTAACATCTGTTTTGGGTTAGCTTATGGAGGATAAAGAAAGGTTTTGATAATCAGTACTAACTCTAATTTTTGCTTGTGTGGGGCACAAAAAAGAAACAACAAACTCATGAAGACTTTGTGTAAACTGAGAAGTTTTGAATATAAGTAGTACTATTTACAGAAAAGTTTATTTGGTAGTTAAAGATACGTGCTGCATGGCAATTAGGCATAAATACTAAGTAGTCCATATAAAGGACTGTAATTAATGTGGTTTATGGAACCAAGGCAGCATTTCTAGAGTAAGTTCGGTAGAGAAATGAATAGAAACTCATTTAGAACTGGCTTCTGTCCTAATGCTCCCTGGATCAGAGAAGGATCTTTGGGAAGGCTACTCGCGTTTCCATTAGCATTTGTTCTCGGCCAGGAGGCCAGAGGCTTGGAGGAATTTTCCTTATCTACTACAAAAGTAATATAAAGTTGCATACAGAAATGCAGTGGGTTGGGTTTTGAGTCTTCTCCACCCTTGAAGTACTGTATGTACAATTTAGCTGTAGTAAAAGTTCTTTAAAGTGAAGAAATAGAACTCAGATTGTTTCAATATTTTGCACATCATATAGCCACCGACAAGAGTCTTCCTGGATAAGGTCCTTGTGGCCAAAATGTCTTCATGAACTCAGTTTTAATCCATCTGATTATCAATCAGTGTTCCCATGTATGTGTTTTGCTTGCATCAGTGGAGTATCCAATTTGTAGTTGGATGTGTAGTTTATTTATTGAAGTGGGCTGTCTTATTGATCACATATTAGTGTATATATTCTCACAGGTAAGGCGAAAGAGAGCAAGGAAAACCTAACCCCTGTCTCTGGCCTCAGGTTGAAATATCTTCACCCTGACAATATCCAGTTATTTTTCCTACAAAGCGTGCCCGTGCATGACTCAAGCAGCATTGTTCTTATTTCACTGACTGATTTGATTTGGTGCGATCTGGAAGGAGAGCTGGTCAAATGCAAACTTCATTGGCTTCTAAGCCCATATTTAATGTATCAGCAAGTCTTGGTGCTGTCTTAGAATTGTATCGAAACCTGACCATTCTTACTACTTCCGCTGTCAGCACTCTGGTCTAGGTCAATATATTTTGCATGACCATTACTACAGACTTCTAGCTTCTAGTTGCTCCTGCTCTTTAGTCTATTTTCCACAGAGCAGCTAGCCTTTCCCAACTCAATTCGGATTCGTTCACTCCTTCACTGGCTCTCCCTTCCATTTAGGATACATTTTAAAGATTACAAGGTTGCTGCTCTATCCTCTTCTTGCGCCTTACCCTCTTTTCTGACTTCACCAGCTAATCTCCCTCGCGCTTTCTGGTTTTAGCTTCTCTGACCTCTTGGCTATTTTTGCACACATGCCAACTCCACTTCCACTCAGGGTCTTTGCACTTGCTGCTCCCCCGTGTAAAATGCTCTTCTGGACAGCCGCGCGTCTCATTTTCTCACTTCTTTAGGTCTCTTCTCAAATGTCAGCGAGGCCTTCCCAGATAAACATTTAAAATAGCACTCTCCCTTCCAATGTCTCCTTACCTAGCTTCATTTTTCTGTGACTCATCATCTGACATAGTAAGTATTTATTGGATTTTTTTCTTTTGGCTTTTCTCACTGCAATATAAACCGTATGGGAGCAGGGACTTTGTATGTCGGCAAACAGTTGTACCCTCCTTCTCTAGCACATTTATGAATATTTAAGTCTCTTGAATCAGGGTCTCTTCAAAAGCTGAATGATCTTTTCTTAAAATTTAACTTTCCAAATCTTAATTCCATAGGTTTGGCACTTTAAATGTTTGAGCTATCTACTTACCTTTGTTCTAGTTCCTTTGACAGGGAAATCAAAGTAGTGAGAGACCTACGAAGAATAACAGCAACTATTTAAGAGGGATTTCTTATAGCAGTGTCTGCTTAACCACTTTGCATTACCTTACTTAATTCTGTTTGTAGTCCCAAAGATAGGGGTTATTCCTATTCTTTTACAAAGATAGTGAGAACTTAGATTAAATAGTTTGCTGTCAGGTCACACAGTTAATCTTTGGGCTGACATTAGGCTTGAGGTCTGGCTGAGTTCTTAGTGTCTCCTAGCAATCTCCTCCAGAAGTTTATTTCCAGTTATTAAAGCAGTGAAGCCCCTGGGTTTAAAGCCTTTGTTTTAAAATTACACATGATAGGATTCTGGGGAATAGGTTTGCGGGTGTGTATGGCAAATACTTATATATAAATATGTGTATCACATCATTATATAAACGCATTTGTAGTTCAAAGATCCTGGGTAACCTCACCAGGTAGTTTGCCTTTCGGAAATGTCCTAAAAGCTACTATCTTTCAGTCTGGCTTAGCCAGACTGAAAAAAAAAAAAAAAGCCTTTTTGCCTCATTGCCCTGATAACGTAAAGCGAAGACGTAGGTTAAGCCACTCGGCAAGAGAACGGGACCAAAACTGCGGTCCGGAGGAAAGGGGGTGGTCATCAAGTCTCTCGCCGCTTCCAAGTGGGCGCATAAAAGTATGTATGAAGAAAACCTAAGTTCTCACAAAGCAGACCCTCTTGGGGGAAGCCGGCCCACCGCAGGGGAGGAAGGCTCAGGGGCACAGCGGGCCCCCGAGAGCGAGGCTTAGGGGGGCGGGGCGCCTCGCGGCGGAGGCGGGGCCGGAGGGCGGGGGGCGGGGCCTGCGCGCGCCCCGCCCCTCTCCTCGGGGATGCCGGGATGTTTACACTCCTGACAGCGGCGGCCGCGCGAGGAGGAGCGGGAGCCGCGGGAGGATGGGCCGCCGCTAGCTTCGCTCCGGGGCC